ACACACACACACACACACACACTCAAAGAAATTACAAAAAATAAATGATCAATACCTATGTTTATCCATCACCAAACAAACCTGTCCTAATATAACACAACCCTTCACCATTATCTTGTTAACTAGTGCCTATTCACCCAACATCCAGCACCACATTGTGAATAATAATAATAACAACAACAAGCTGCTCAAACACTAACATAAATCAGCTATTAGTCCCAAATATCTGTCTACTGTATTTGTGAAGAACTAAAATCAAGGTAAAATCTTCCCCCACTTTAGTTTAATAGCTGTTTCTTTAAATTGATTTACTCTCATGATTTTACTTTCTCATCACTGATTTTTCATTGCACTGCTCTTTGTTAGCAGTATCTGCCACACGTTTTATTCACAAAATAATCTCATTTAGGCACATGTGGCTTCAATAGCTGTCAATCAGTTGTAATCACTCAATCCTGATGTTCCTCATTTTCTGGTCGCTTTGCATAAAAGCATCTACTAAATCAAATTAATTGCATGACATGCTATCATGATATGATAAGTAATTAATCAAGTTATTCCCAATTCATTGTATATATTGCCATTTGCAGATAAAACAATTAAAACAAAGTAAAATATATTATATAATTGTGACAGCAGAGTAAATCACTGATTAGACTATTTTTGTTTAGAAATTATAATTAAACTTTAAATTAATGCTTTAAATTGACAGCCCTACTTTAAAGGTGGACGAGGGCAGCAGATGGATGGAGTTAGAGGTCAGAATTTACTCTGTCACACGTTTAACAGACAGAGCTGGAGCAGTGGGGTCACTGGCAAACCACGACCCAGGATTAGGATACTCCCCCTTGTTCAGTTGGTAACTGGGTTCAGCATATTCAGGACCCTCATAGAGATCCCAGACACCACTGAGCACCTTACAGGAGCGGACCTCATTTATACCACAGCCGTCCAATGAAGGACGGTCAACTGTTGTCTCAAAGTTTGGGCCTTCAAAATTCACCTTTTCATAGAGCTGGATCTGATAAGATGTCACACGTTTCACAGACAGAGCAGGAGCAGTGTTGCCATTGCCGCAAACCTCAGGATTGGGATACTCCCCCTTCTGCAGTTGGTAACTGGGTTCAGCATATTCAGGACCCTCATAGAGATCCCACACACCACTGAGCACCTTACAGGAGCGGACCTCATTTATACCACAGCCGTCCAATGAAGGACAGTCAACTCCAGAACTGAAACCTCTTTATGAACCATATTTATAAAAGTTATTTATAAAGTGTTTCTCACATTATCTCAAATAACTGCAACAACATAGAAATCATAAGAGCACTACAGTTTTAAATAAATTGCAATCAGAGACTCAGACACATTATATGATTTTATCATAAGTTCCTTGCCATCACACATGCGTTTAATACACACAATTGTGCCAGCCAAAGAGAAATTTAAACTTAAACAGTCAAGGGTCAAGAGGCAACTAAAGCAAACACTATTCACAAAAATGGTAAGTTGAAGAAAAAAAAAAATCTAAACATTAATTCTCAATAAAGAACTTCTGTCTTAGATACTCCAGAAATAAAGTCTAACTGGTTAGTAATGTGTGAAGCTGGTGCTGATAAGATGTCACACGTTTCACAGACAGAGCAGGAGCAGTGTTGCCATTGCCGCAAACCTCAGGATTGGGATACTCCCCCTTCTGCAGTTGGTAACTGGGTTCAGCATATTCAGGACCCTCATAGAGATCCCAGACACCACTGAGCACCTTACAGGAGCGGACCTCATTTATACCACAGCCGTCCAATGAAGGACGGTCAACTGTTGTCTCAAAGTTTGGGCCTTCAAAATTCACCTTTTCATAGAGCTGGATCTGATAAGATGTCACACGTTTCACAGACAGAGCAGGAGCAGTGTTGCCATTGCCGCAAACCTCAGGATTGGGATACTCCCCCTTCTGCAGTTGGTAACTGGGTTCAGCATATTCAGGACCCTCATAGAGATCCCAGACACCACTGAGCACCTTACAGGAGCGGACCTCATTTATACCACAGCCGTCCAATGAAGGACGGTCAACTGTTGTCTCAAAGTTTGGGCCTTCAAAATTCACCTTTTCATAGAGCTGGATCGTAAATGGCAGACATTCAAGAGACCAAGCAGGATCAGGAACGGGAGCAGGAGCAGGAGCAGAAGCAGTGGATTTGCCATCGCTCAATGCCTTAAGATTGGGATACTCTCCCTCCTTCAGTAGGTAATCATCTACACTGTCACGACCCTTCCAGAGCTTCCAGACGCCTCGGATCACCTTACAGGAGCGAACCTCTGTTATACTGCAGCGGTCCAATGATGGATAGTTGCCTGTGATCACACACTTGGTACCTTTAAACGCATGCTGATCGTATAGCTCAATTACACACTTGAAGAAAAAGAGAGAGAAGAGAGAGGGTGAGTTTTTTTTTTTTTTTTTTTTTTTTTTTTTTTTCTTAGGACAACTTTGATGAACTTTTGATCCACTTCAAATGTTGACTACTGCATTAACTTACTGAAACTCTTCTGTGTGTAAACTGCTGTTATATTGAGCAATTTTTATTTTCATATTTTATCAAAATGCTGCAATATTAAAAAAAAATGACAGCTGTGTGCATTAAAAACAAATAAAATATATTCAGCACATTTTGGTTCTCACTATCTTATTTTGATTTTTGTTCAGGCTTTAGAAACTCTCTCATTAGTGTATAAAAACAGATTAATTAGTGATACATTAGTCACAAACACATCTATGAACCAGAGGAAGTAATACTCAAAATAAAGCAAACATTTATTAGACAAGAAACAAATAATTGCTCCACCATTGTTGTTGATGCAATAGTTTATTTTTGTCAGTTTTTGAGAATAACAAGCTGAAATGCATTACATTTTCCCCCTAATAACCATGTTTTCCCAGTAATCACACAAGAAAGATGTAACTGAACTCCTGCATCCTAAAAGGTGAAAGATTAGATGTAGAAAGACTGATTCCATATCAAATTCAATCTCTAAAAATGAACAACTCCCCAAAATATCTCACAAGAACTGTACCCAGATCTCTACTCTATACACACACACACACACACACACACACACTCAAAGAAATTACAAAAAATAAATGATCAATACCTATGTTTATCCATCACCAAACAAACCTGTCCTAATATAACACAACCCTTCACCATTATCTTGTTAACTAGTGCCTATTCACCCAACATCCAGCACCACATTGTGAATAATAATAATAACAACAACAAGCTGCTCAAACACTAACATAAATAGCGCATAAAACACTTATAAAACACGCAATAAGCACCTTTCTATCCAATGAGTCAAAGAGAACAAGATCATCACTTCCTGGTAAACTGGCAATATATATCACTAAGGAAAGTGCGAGAAGCCACTGAATATAATACTTTTCATATATAATAAATTGCTTGCACCTCAGAGCGAGCAGACGAAACCCAATAAATGCTGTCAATGCTTTCGGAGGTGGATGCTGCTGTTTGGGGAACGCAGTCGTGTAAGATAATTATACATAAATACTTTGACAACAGACTTTGCTCAGGCATTTCAGAATGACCATAACAACATATAGATGCTGTGAACGAGATCGGTCCGCTGCTAGTCAAGTTATCCCGATAAAACGTTTATCCTACTAAAATGTGCGCATACGTTTTTTTTTAATGCGCATTTTTAGAATTTATGCGCATCTTGGCGTTTCCATCCAGCGTTTTTTATGAGATGGTCCTCACTGCAGAACACAAGATCCAGGGGGCGTGGTTGGATCCAGATCCAACTCCTCCCACCTTACATATACTTAAACCTACCCGTCTCCACCCCCTGATCTCTAAACCCACCCATCTCCACCCATAAACCTATCCATCTTCACCCCTAAACCTACCAATCTCCACCCCATAGGTGTGAATCCAACCACGCCCCCTGGATCTTGTGCTCTGCAGTGAGGGGCTACTGTTTTTTATGCGATGGTCAAGCTGGAAGGCATTTCAATTTCATGTTTGCAATGTTTGCATCAGTCACTGCTCTGGGTGAATCTGATGAAAACATGTCACAAAAATGCTTTGCATGACGAACATGACGAAATTATAACAGTGTGAGTTAAAGCAGTACAAGAATGTTACACAGAAATATACGTAAATCCTAAAAAATAAGAACATATTTTTAATATCATCACAGTAATAAGAAATTCACAAATCACAAGTCCTTTTCTTTCAATTAAAATAGAGTTTTAGTTTATCTCGCAATTTTCTCAGAATTTTTATAATTTGGATTTTTTTTTACTCTAAAGTCTAAGTTTACATCTTGCAAGTTTTTTTTTTTTACAAATATTAAATAAAGGTAGTTCTGACATTTTATCTCACAATCCTGACTTTTTCCTCGTAATTCTACATCTTGCAATTTTATCAGAATTCTTATAATTCTTTTTTTTTCTGAAGTTTGAATTTATATCTTGCAACAGTTTTTCCCCCTCACCATGGAATAAAAAAAAGGGTAATTGTGACTTTATCTCACAATTTTAAGTTTATATCTCACAATTTTGAAAAAAAAAAATATATAGAGAATTCTGAGATATTCTGATATTTTTCTCAATTGCAAGTTCATATTTCACTATTCCGACAATTTATATCTTGCTATTCTTACTTTTTCCTCAGAATTGAGAATTTATATAGATATATACTCAAAATTGTGAGATAAAAAGTAGCAATTAACTTTTTTTAAATTTAATTTTTTATTCCAGAAATACAAAAGAACTAGTCAAAATTGTGAGATAAAAAGCCACATTTTTTATTTAATTTTTTGTCCAATGGTGGAAACAAGCTTCCACACACACGATCACACAGAGTATTTAATACTTCTCTGTTCTCTTGTGACTTACAGTATGAACCAGACATTATGTTTGTGACAGATTTCACACTTTTCCCCTATACATACATTTACTCATATACACAAATATATTTTAGGGATCTAAATAGCACAAGTCTGTCATTTTATGTAGGCTATTTTCTTACTTTAAACTCATTAACTGCAGCTGTAACAAGCACACTTGTTGTAGCTTCATTCTGCTGTTGATTGCATACAAAGACATCCTGCCTACAGCAACGTTAGCATGTCGATAGCATGCATTGCTAAGTTAACAATACAGCCCTAAAACAAAAATATTTAACACATACTTCACATACTGCATACTATTTTCAAAATAAATGTAAATGTGACAGTTTCTAGAAAGACCCGTTTACAATTCACCTTTTAAATAAATGGCTGTCAGCAGACAGTGATGTGTTATCTGCCGTTTAATAAGAAGCGACGGAATGCATGAAATCTCTGCTGCATTTATACATATATGCTATAGCAGACACTTTCATGGCACAGTCCCGAGGTGAAAGTATGATTGCAGATAACAGACTCTCTGCACTCCCAGTCGGGAAGGGAAAACAAGACTGAGCAAAAGATGCTGCTGTTGAAATAACAATCATATGCCAGCATGACCGTGGAGGACATGCTGTTAAGAGTCGAGGTCGCTGACAAGTGCATATATGCCGTCGCGGTTGCATATGAGCCTTATCTTCAACCTTTAGCATCCTCAACCCACAACCACCCACCACTGGCAGTGAAGTACAGATCAACACTTAGGAAGGCAAGAACACCGAGTGCTAGATAAGAGTCCACGAAGAAGTGGTGATCCTGGAGCGAAGAGTTCGCATCTGCGGGTTTAACGCAGTTTAAGGGCAAACTGAGGAGGGTTGTGTAAATGAACGCACATGCAAAACTGAAGAAAGTAAGGATGAATGAATGGATGGATGAATGGAGAAGGCCTCCTTAATTTACCCTTAGGTGAGTATTGGCATACAGAATGCACCGTGACTCAAGTGCTTCATTGTACCCTCGTTCTATTGTAATTTCCCAATCGATTGCAGTTTAGTGTCCTCATGTTTGGGAACGCAGTCGTGTAAGACAATTATACAGAGAAACTTTAATGACAGACTTTGCTCAGGCATTTCAGAATGACCGTGACAACATTTTAGATGCTGTGGAACGAGATCGGTCCGCTGGTTAGGATTTGCCGTCCCATAGCGCAAAGTCACATGACTTTTTTGATGCGCATGGAGGAATTTACTCGGCAAATGCGTTTCCATCTTCCACTATTCGCATTAACCCTTTTTCACACAAGTCAAAAGCCACCTCAAGTGAGCGTAAAAAAACATTTTTGTGAATTAAATTAATTGTCAATTAATTTTTATTTGAAATTTGGCATTTCCATCACTCGTTTCTGATGTGATACTTCAAATGCGCATAAAAACAGGGTGATGGAAACATAGCTTATGTACTCATTATACTGTGTTTTTTTGTGTGGCTTATACACTGTGTCTGCGTGTGTCAGTTCTGCAGGAATGACAAACAAACCATAAACACTCACCATGCCAAGGCGCCACCATTTAAAGCACTCCTTAGCATCCATCTCCTCCTCATCAGAGTTTTTTGTGTAGTAAACTCGACCAACATGTTCACTAAACTTCTTCGGCAGCAGACTGGAGACCTGAGATACAAGTGAAATCAAACATAACTTTTTGATCAGTCATTACAGATCCAGGAAACTTGCTTTTTACCCAAAGCAAGTTTCCCTGCACCCTGGGCTGTCTTTTTTTTGTGAGTGACTATTGAAATAAAACTTGTTATATGACCATCTGAATACTTATCTGAACCACTCACCTTAAAGAGATAGTCCACACAAAAATGAAAATTCTGTCATTAATTATTCACTCTCATGTCGTTCCAAACCCGTAAGACCTTTGTTCATCTTCGGATCACAAATTAAGATATTTTTGATGAAATCCGAGAGCTTTCTGACCCTGCATAGACAGCAACACAACTGCAACGTTCCCAGACCCAGAAACGTAGCAAGGACATCGGTAAAATATTCCATGTGACATCAGTGGTTCAACTGTAATTTTATGAAGCTATGAGAATACTTTTTGTGCCCAAAGAAAACAAAGATGAATAAAGGTCTTACGGGTTTGAAACAACATGAGGGAGAGTAATTAACGACATAATTTTTTTTTTTTTGGGAGTACTATCCATTTAACCTCACTATTATCAATCACTTTTGGAACAAATTAATATTGACGAATATATATATATATATATATATATATTTATTATTATTATTATTATTTTTATTTTTTTTTATATAGTTTTGACATCACTGGATTCCCTGCCTGACCAGGACCCTTAAAACTGTCTTAACCTCCTCACAGGACCTTGTGATGACAAGCTGCTGTATCACTAAAGGTACAATTTTTCCACATTTTGTCTGACAGTGTAGGCCAATTGTTAGCTCACAATTGTTAGCTGTTTAATGAAAAAATTGACTGTGAATGCAAGCTGCTATTTATTGCTTGGGCAATCACTTGATTAAGTGTTGTAAGAAATCAAGCATACAGATAGTTTTGGCAGATCACGTCAAGCAGTATTATTCAGCAGATGTATTGCTTTGCTCAGAAGCTAATTACCCTCCTCCATTCCCAGAAATGTGTTGTTATATTAAAATTGATGTTAATAACAACATTAATGATATCTTCAATACATTTGTGTTGATTCTGTTCTGTCTACTCTAAGTGGGTTATCGCTGCTCTCTCAGATAGACTGCCACAACAGAATCATTACCATACCACCAATCCACACTGTGTGCTAACTGTCAATCATCTTTGATGATAGTGGCCCTCACAGAATTTGTTATTCTAGAAAAAGTTCTTCTAATATGTTGATAATTTTTGAAGTGGCAAGTTACTTGAGCAGCACAGTGGTAGGAGTACCTCATATTTCCTAATCTTGCGGCCTTTATTGTGCTGGTTCTTTCTGTAGAAATAGACATGGTTGATAGGGTTTTCATCCTTCTTATTATAATCCAGTAGAATCACCTGTGAGGAGATTTACAATGTTACAGTTACTAAACATTGTTGATAAAAAAAAAGTGATAAAAATTAGTGCTGTCAAAATTAGCGTTTTAACGCAGGCGATTTTTTTTTATTTTTTTTTAATTTAACTCTTTTTCAGTTAAAAAATATTTAATGCAATTTAACGCAGGGGCAGAGCTAGAGTTGGCCACCCCACTCACAGCTGCTGCTTCTGTCTCTTTTTTTTTTTTTTTTTTTTTTTTTTTTTTTTTTTTTTTTTTTTTTTTTTTTTTTTTTTTTTTTTTTTTTTTTTCTTCTTTCTTTAAAAAAAATGCGTTTATTCAGTCACAGAACGTCTTTACGATCACATCAAATGGGAGACGTTTCAGACATGCGTTCCACTTCACTTCAGCGTCAGGCGCGAGTTAGTCTCACGTAGCCAGACCTTCAGACTGACGGCTGAAGGTCTGGAATCCATGGCAGCTTTCATTGGCCAAGGCCCGCCCATGAGGCTGTTTGACAGACATGTCAAACAACCAATCACAGTTCAGTGTTTCGGGGCGTGGAAATGTCGACACAATAACAGACTGGTGTGTAAAACTCTCTGATGTATTTTAAAGATTATATGCTGCGAACTTTAAATATTTCACATACTTTTGAGAATCCAGCGTTTAGTTGATCCTGATAAGCGCTTTTCGTCACAATTGTAAACACGACGGCTTTCTTCTTTCGTGAGGGGGTTTGGCGCCACTGTATCTTTGTTTCCAGACGGAATGTTAAAGAACGCAACACACACGTCTCCCGGAAATCCTGTATAATTCAACCAATCCGATGACGACTTTGAAAATCCTGAAGCGTTTCCACTTTTGTGTGCCATATGCATGAGACGTTCAGCCAACAGTCTGTGGGCGTGATGTCTGAGGCTGAGACTAGGCACGAGTTAAACGAGCGCGGAAACGGTTCTGTCTGGAGCGCGTGCTCTTCAATTGCACGCACAAATGCGAGCTGTAGCCTGTATCATTTAATATCAAAGCGCGAAATAAACTACGTGCATGCAATGTCGTGGTCAGTTAAGTCATGAAGTTACCAAAAAGGTGATTAAAGCTGCCTTAAAACTGTGCATGCACGTAATATATAATATATGAGTCACATTTAAGAACATGCCTCTGAAATGGAGTGGTTTTCAAAACTTTCCTGGAGCAGCCCAATACTGTCTCACTCATCTAACACACCCAAATTAACTCATTAATAGAGACTTTAAGACCTGAAGTGGGTCATAAAAGGTAGAGATTTAAGAGGAGATACGATGTGTGTCAGATCTGTGTCATGCTCAGCAGCGGCAGCTCTTAAAGAAATAGCCAAAATAACTTAATAATCTGTGATGTCTGTTAATCAAAGAAAAAAAAGAGGAAATCAATAACTTTTATAGCTTTGATTCATCTATATTTAATTTAAAATAGTTTTTCAATTTCTGTATATTTCTGCTGAAGGACACTGTTAAATATGACATTTATTATAATGGGTTTATGTGAAAATTGTTTTAAGTTCACTTAAATTAGAAGTAATTTTTTATAAAGTCTAATAAATATTAAAACTGACAGCTCTCAATTATACTGTAATGTTGAATGGCTATTGTCAATGGTTAAATATTAGGGGAAAAACTATTTTATAGAGACATCTGCAGTATTGGTATCAGTGATACTGGCCTTCAGTCATAAAAAAAAAAAAAAAAAACATGATGCCATTAAACAAAAACTAAAAATATACTCTCCTTATGTTTTTTCTACATTCATTTGAAAATTTTATGTGAAATTATTGCGATATAAAAGTATATTTAAAAACTTTAATGTTAGGTGAGGCCTTCAGTCATAAAAAAAAAAAAAAAAAAACATGATGCCATTAAACAAATACTAAAAATATACTCTCCTTATGTTTTTTCTACATTCATTTGAAAATTTTATGTGAAATTATTGCGATATAAAAGTATATTTAAAAACTTTAATGTTAGGTGAGATTAATTGTGACTAATCACGATTAATTTCAGAACAAAAATGTGTGATTTTTAATTTATTTATTTTTATTGATTGACAGCACTAATAAAAAAAAAAGACTGGAAATGTTGTTTTGAACACCGCATACTTCAGTGCTGAAATCCTTCTTATGCAAAACCAGATTTGGGTGAAGTTTGTTCCACTCGTCCACTGCTTTATTCCAGTCATCCTGTAGAAATGCAGATTTAAGTTCAACAAATGAAAACAAATTATCTATATGAGAGTGTGTGTTATTATCTGTGTATGTCCCTCCCCAATAAACGAAAAAAAAAATGTGATTGCTTTTTAACTGCACATTTCTATCGATTGTAATGTTTGAAATTATGAGATGTCAGAGAAAATGAAAGGGATGATTTGTCGGTGGACAGTAAGGTACATTTGTTAAAATTAGTTAACTATATTAGCTAACATGAACTAACAATGAAAGATACTGCTAAAGCATATTAATTTAGCATATTATTCATATTTATTAATGTTAATTTGAACATTCAGTATAAAAATAAAATGTATGTGTTCATAGAATTTACTGGACCTGAGCTGACATGAACTAACAATAAACAGCTGTATTTTTATTAACTAACATTAACAAAGATTATTAAATGCTGTAACAAATGTATTGCTCATTGTTATTTAATGCTTGTTAATGCATTTACTGACACTAATTAATGGGACATATCATTCATAGAGCATTCTAGAGTGCTGTTATATTTACGTTAATTTAATTAAGGTTAGAAAAATTATTAAAAAGGGACACGATTCTGATAAGGAACACAATATTCGGTTATATTTTTCCTTGAAGTATCTGTATATTAATTATTTCGTTTCTGTGATCTTGACACTGTCCCAGTTTGCCAACCATCTACCAGCAAACTGGGATTCACAGTAAATTCCCGAGTGTTAAATTAACACTGCTCGGAGCATATATGGTCCCACTCTAAAAGAGTGTTAAAGTAACACTGAAGCTCTTAACCCTTGACTTTTTAACACCAGTGTAGCACATCTGTTCTGTTTAGACAGGCAGACATCAAGAATCAGCATATGAATCTCAACAATGGTGATGATCATCAGACAGATTCATGTTGCATTGCATTCTGGGTGCACCAATCATAACTCATCCATGGCTCCCAGCATGCATTGCGACATTAATAAATTATGCAGCTGCATTGTCTTAGTATTTTCTTTTATTTTTTCTATTTGCTTTTATTTACAATAACATTTTTCTCACGTTGTTGTCTCATATAACTGCAGCAACATAGAAATCATAAAAGCACTACAGTTTACGATAAATTTCCATCAGAGACTCAGACACATGACATGATTTTATCATAAGTTCCTTGCAGTCACACGTGTTTAACACACACAATTGTGCCAGCCAAAGAGAAACTTAAATTTAAAAGCTCAAAGGCTCAAGAGGCAACTAAAGCAAGCACTATTCACAAAAACGGTAAGTTGAAAAAAAAAAAATATTAACCATTAATTCTCAACAAAGAACTTCTGTCTTAGATACTCCGGAAATAAAGTCAAACTGGTTAGTAATGTGTGAAGCTGGTGATGCTGTTTGTGGAGATGATTAATCATCTTCTGCTGAGATCTTCAGAGATTTAATGTCTTCTTTTATTTCAGTTGATTTCATCTAAGGCTGTGGCTGAAGTCAGTTGTAGTTCTTGTGTTTCTCTTTTCTTCAGTGATTCTGCTTGTTAACAGCAGCTGTTCATCACTAATGCTCAATCAGCACTTAATTAATCACATAATTATCTCATTAACTTTAACACTGCTTCAGCGTTACTTTAACACTCTTTTAGAGCGGGACCATATATGCTCCGAGCAGTGTTAATTTAACACTCGGGAATTTACTGTGTACAAACAAGAACATGTAATTTCAATGGAGTGATAATACAAACTGCATTTACCAATTCAAAATTACAATTTGTAACCCTAAAGCACAGTTTAGAAGGGCAAGATTACAATTTTAATGATAAGAGTTTTAATGATATGCTTCACTATAATTCTATTTGCATTAGTAAATTACTCACAACAATCAACCTTTCAAAATCCAGCGGCAGTGAAGGAGAAAGGAAACAATGAAGAACAGGCCAGCAGTCAAAGATGATATTTTAACATTGTAAATGCAGTGCCCTCTACAATGTCTGGAAGAAAACTAACTTGAAGATGTCATTTAAATAAAACATTGTGTTTTTCTCATTTTTCTTCTACCTTGAAGGCCACTTCTTTCTCTTCAGTTTCTTTTAGTCGAGTCTCTCCCACACACTTCCGCAGGCGTCGCATCACAACATCTTCAAGCTCTTTTCGGGCATCTTTCAGCTTGTCATCACTGGAGTACAAGATCTTCTCAAAGATGTGATCTGATAGAATGAGAACAATTTGACGGAAACTCTTCTGGTCAAATGACAAGAAGTAGAACTTTGAAACTTCTTCCATGTTTACAACTTACCTGTCAGTTTAATGAACTTTGCAGTCTTTTCATCTTCAGATGGTGGCATCTTGCATTTTTGTGAACTGCTTGTAATATTTTCGATCTTCTGCTTGATATCATCTGGTGAAATGTATTCTGAAATCGGTGAGATCTCAAGTGTGTCTTTAGCTTCTAAGAGAGCTTTTATGATCCTAAAGAACAAATAAAAAATAATGAAACAGTAAATTACTCAAAAAATAATGCATTAAAAAAAAGTTTTTAACTGAATAATAATAAAATAAAATAAATGTACTTGTCTTCAATGATGTTGACTATCTTGTGCTGGTAGGCCTGCTGATATAGAGTGTAGCGGGTGTGAAACATGTCATAAATATTATCTGCCACCTGTGAGAGACAGAATGACACAAACACAGTCAAATATTAATAATTAGATTGAAAACATTAAATGGTTTTATGTGAGTATGACTTACATGAAGTTGCAAATATTGAAATATAAAGGTTTTCGATTTTTATTCATAAATTTCACTCTTAAATTTAGCTGAAGTGGAAACTTGTAAGATGACTAATGATTGGGTGAATGTCATAGTGCACAGTGCAACTAAAGTCAGCGTTTTGTTGTTTTATATGGATGTTACACTTGCAGTGCTATCAAACAGACTGAAAACAATCAGCCATCGAATAAGCACTGGTTGACGAGAGATCTTGTGAATCATTGTACCTTGTCTCTGAAGCAGATGTGATTCGTCCCTTTGACTTTACAGACTTGAGCAGATTTCAGCATGCGCTGATGGTCAAAGCTGTTAGGAATGCCGAGATAATGACAGTCTCTGAAAGAGAGAACATGAGTGTGCTCAATACTGTTGACTGATATGACTGATCTCTGACTTTATACTGACACCTAATAGCATGCGGCATCATACATAAGTGACAATTTTCAGTTATTGATACTATTATAGAAATGTTTTATCTAGTCATGGTTAATTTGTTCCACAAGTGAAAGTGTCCAAACATGAAGGGTTACTAATATTAGACTGCTCATGTGATCTGATCATGGTGGCCACCAGGAGGCGACCTAATCCATGTTGAATAAATCAGCTTTAATGACACTACTGATGTGATGGTGGACACATGAGAGGACAACATTTGCATCATCTCTTTCAATGTTTTTTTTTTTTTTATGTCAAGCTTTTTGATACACTGTAAAAAACAAAAAAAAAGTGAAATGCTTGGCAGCACAGGGTGCCAAATGTTTACCATTAATGGAAATAATGGTAAAAAAAATTTTTTTTTTTTTTTTTAAACAGTCAATGACTGGCAGAAGCAGTTGCCAAACAAAAACTGTAAAATTAAGATGCAGCATCCTATTTTTTTCTAAAACGTTTTTTTTTTACTGTTACTTTACAGGTATTGTCTGGATTATCATTGTGAAACTTTTTTTTTTTTTTTTTTGCAGTTAACCATCAGCTAACAACAGCACACATGCAAAAACTAATAACTACACTGTAAAAAATTGCTGTAAAAAAACTGCCATATTCTGACAGTAACATCCTGTTTTTTCATTACAACAGTACAATCCCGTAAAAAAACAACATATTCTGGGTAGTATTTGTTATTTTCGAGAAAGTAGCCTTCTGCAGTCCTTGTAGTAACAGCGTTCAGAGTCGACACTCAGAGACTGTGTTTCAAATCACACCCTACACCCTCATTCACTATTCCCTACATGAGTTTACTAATACAGTCCACCTGACAGAGAGAATGAACACTAATGAGTGAATTCAGACACTGATGAACAGCTGCTGTTAACAAGCAGAATCACTGAAGAAAAGAGAAACACAAGAACTACAACTGACTTCAGCCACAGCCTTAGATGAAATCAACTGAAATAAGACAGCAGAACATGATCAAACAACTCCACACACAGCATTACAGTTTGACTTTATTTCTGTCATATATCTACACAAAGTCTTTGAGAATAAACAGAGGTTTAGATGTTGATGTTTTATTTAAAATAATCAATAATAATTAATAATAATAATAATAATTAATAATAATTTTTCTCCGGCTGCTGTAACTGTGTGTTTCTAAAGCACTTTTGTTATAGCAAAACCTGCAAAAAAAATTCTAATCAGATGAAGCTGTTTACGTACTGATGATGATCTTGCCATTGTATAATGGCCTGATTCATTAACCTCATCAGAGATGTCTAAAGTACGAGCATGTTACATTTATTTATTTTCCAACTTTTATATGGTTTGTAATAAGTGAAGATGCTGAGATCTAGAGAGATCTGTTAGTGTTTCATGTTCTGTTGCTGCCAGTCATGTGACATTTAATTAATTAATTAGTTGATTTTACAGTGAAGGTGTTTGATTGTAATAGTTTAGGAAATGCCTGTAAATTAACAGTGCCGTCAGCTTGTTTAAATAAGGAGATTTTACTTTAATTTTAAGGTTTTTGTTTGGCACCCTGTGCTGCCAGTCATTTGACCGTTTTTTTTTTTTTTTTCTTTTTTTGTCTTTTGTTTTTCAGTGAAGGTGTTTGATCATAAAAATTCAGGACATACCTGTAAAATAACCAGTGTTTGTCAGCTTATTTAAATAAGGAGATTTTATTTTAATTTTATGGTTTTTGTTTGGCAGCAGTTGCTGCTAGTCATTTGACCATTTTATCATCTAACAGTTTTGTTATTGTATTAATTACAGATTATTTTTGTAATTTTACATTTGTTTGTAATTTAGGAAAACAGAAAACATACTGTATAAAATACTGTAGTTTTTCTGTATATAAAATATGAATTACTGTAATTTGTCATTAATGTCATAATACTTAAAATAACAGCCAAGTATTTAATTCAGAGATAATTTTACAGAGTTTTGACTGCAATTCAAAATAAAATAAAACAACCTGAAAAAATCAGTTATTTTCCGTGAAATTTAATTTTTTTTACAGTGTAGTAGAAAAATGGTATTTGTATACTAATATTGAAAAATAAAAAATGGCAAAAATAAATCAAATAAATTCTGCATATACAGCATTTACCTATTTTAAAGTGCACTAAATTAAAGGTAACTCTTTCTAATAAATTTCCTTAAATCATTAACAAAAATTATATATTGCTTAACAGATCCATAGATTATATTCAGTATACAAAGAATATGAATATATTTTGAAAATAAGAATCAAAATGTAAATCAGACTATCAGCCACCCAGCGGGCACCTTGATATCAATTTGACATCAAATAATATAACTATAACTATTCAAATTAGTAAAGACTTGATTACGATGCTGTAACATTATTTTAAGATCAGTTTGGACAGCAATTTCTTCCAGTGGTAATTAGGTGAAAATAGGAAGTTAATCCCACACTGAAATTAGTTTAATGTATGTATAAACCAATATGTTTGATGTTCACTTTTGACATGTCAAGTCAAAAATGTCAAGTTTTTGACATCAGTTTGATTTGCATATTTGTCCTGTTGTTTGACGTACATTTTGATGTCAATTTGATATATGTTCCACATCAAATCACCCACTGGGCATTTAAGCACTTTTTTTCCATTTAAAAAAAGTAATTATATGTGTAAAATCTCTAAAATGTTGTTTATTTACCGTGCAAAATAGTCCCATCTTCGCACGTCAATGCCATTCCAATTATTTGCCAAAATCTCATACAGGAAAGACTTGTTCTAATAAAGAATAATTCAAATACTTTTAATACTCAACTTAAACTCTGCATAACTTGTTTGACATTGCAGTTTACAGGATGTTACCTCTGGAGCTGCATTATAATCCCCCTCAATTAACGTCTGAATAAAGGTGAGATCCTTGTTTGTCAGCTCTGTGTTTAGTCCTTCATTCCTTACGATGTCCAGAAAAATCCAGATTGAGGCCACCTAGAGAGAGACAATATAAATATTGGAAATAAATTAAACTGTATATACATCCGTAAATACATACAGTAATAATACAGGATTCATGAAGACTGAGCATCTAATTATATTTTTATTAAATTATGACTGATAAATAGATTATATTTAACAGTCAGTGTTTCTCATGAAGTGATTTGCAATTTATTAGTGGCCTGTATTTCTATTCTTGTCAATTTCCACAGAATGTAATGTTGGCTTATTCCTCTCAAGGGATTTTCACACTGCACTTAACCCCGGGTTCTCGTCGTTCTAAACCCCGCTTTTAACCCCAGAAAACTGTACGTTTCGCACTTGTTTTTTTTTTTTTTTTTTTACCCAGGCTTATGAATTCCTGCTCTGGAGCAAGTTTAGCTCTGCTTTTGTGGTGTTAACCCCACATTGCAGAGTCAAACACGGTGCAGTGTGAACTGATGTTACAGCTACATGCTTAGCAACAGGCAACCAATTGCGTGTCTTCTACTCACATGATTTGGACAGTCTCAGAAACATCACATCATTTCAACAGTAGTTTCAGTATTTGAGGGGAAAAATGACAAATGGTTACAGAAATATGACATGTGGGGTGAAGAAGAGACTGTTTCATTTTTTCGTTTATAATCTGGAAAGGCCATTCAGTATAAGCCTGCTAGTACAGTCGACAACATACAGTATGAGCAATGCTAGAGCAGTTATAAACAGGTAACATGCTGCATTCATTCAATCAATGGCATTGACAACACAAATATGCAATTAAGAACGTTACCCCAGGGTTTAGGAATGTACAGTGTGAACATCAATTGTTAACTCTGAGTGAATTATGAGCAGTGTGAAACATCAAGCAATAACCCAAAACTTTATGTACCCAGGGTTTAGAATGACCCAGGGTTAACTCGAGTGTGAAAAGCCCATTTATTTGTTAAAAGACGACAATCTTTTGAATACTGTTGATCCAATGTTCAAGATAGAGCTTAAGTGTATTTAACCCACAATTTTTTTTTAAACTGATTCTATCTAGATTGCTACTGATAAGTGCTATTTGGATAAGTGTGTCTTTGGCTATATTGTAAACAAGAGAGCATATCAAACAATGTTTTTTTTTTTTTTCTCTTTCACCAATATGGACTGTTCATGTGTGATTGCATGGCTTATATATTCAGTAGGAATGTTTATGTTTAGTAAGTTCGTTTAGCCAATTGAATGCTCTCATAAGGCTCCAAAAAGGTCTACTCTGTTCACCCAAATTATTCATTGAACATTATTCACCAAACCTAATTTGTGCAGTTTGTTTTCCCTAGCCTTGCTGTAAACTCTCCTGTTTTTTTTTTCAGCTCCTTTTCATACATTGTTGTTTTGGACATCACATTTCTATGCTTTTTTAATATAGTTTTATGTATTGTAATGTATTTGTGTTAGATGACTGAGTACATCACAATAAGACCAATTAAATAGCACATTCATTTAAGCATAATACAATACACAGAGTTTAAAATGCTACTTGTAATACATGTATATTTGTACAGGAGAGTCATGGTGCTTACCTTCCACTTTTCTTTTTCTAAAAAGAGAGCAAACAGGGGTTATTATACATGACATGCTTATCAGCGATCTCACAAGAACTGACTTATGAATTTAAACTAAAGGTGACAACCATTACATTAGGGACAGAGCTTTTTACACACACACACACACACACACACACACATATAGGCTTCCATGTTTTATGGGCATTTTCCATAGACATAATTATTTGTATACAGTACAAACTGTATATACTGTCCTCTGAAACCTTACCCTAAACACAACCCTCACTAAAAGCCTTAAAATAAAATAAATAAATAAATAAATGTCCCCACAAATTCTACAATTTCTGGTATTCCTAGACTTGTGGGGACATTCAATCCAGGAACGTAGGGAATACCTGAGGCTCTTTCTTTCTCTTCTTTTTCTTTCTTTTTCTTCTCTTCTGATGGACCCGGTTGTTGGTCATCTCCACGGCCACCTGCACCAGTTGTAAAACGTCAAAGAAACAAAAATCTAAACTAACAACTATTCCTGCTGTCCAATTACTTCTACATACTTCTAAATATTAAACATGCATATAATGATGTAAGTATGCAGTAAATGTAAACAAGAAAGGCTATAAGTGACTTTGATTTCAACCTTCTTCAAATGACAATGAAAGTCATCAACGGAAAGAACACAACGTGATAATTCAAAACTGAATGAAATGAAAATTTCAGATTCTTCATGTAAAGGTAAATTTTCAGGTAAATATGTACATGGTACTAGAGAAAAAGTTAATAACATTTATATAAATATTAGCTCCAAATAGCACTGTTAAATAATTAAGTTATTGATCACACATCTGACCACAAACATTGGCATCAGTCAAGAGAGAGGCTCAGACTCTTACCAGGCCAGGCTTTATGGATGAATTTCTCAAACAGATGAGAGAATGGACCATGACCTTAAAAATACAAACATAAAATATACTGATCAACTCACGGTTTGAAAAAAATAAACCTAAAAATAAAACTAAAATGTTTTTAAAGACCGTTTTTTTAAATGGTCAATGACTGACAGAAGCAGCTGCCAAACAAAAACTGTAAAATTAAGGTACAGCATCCTATCTTTTCTCAAATGTTTTTTTTTTTTGTTTGTTTACTGATACTTTACAGGTATTGTCTGGATTATCATCGCGAAACATTCTCTGTGAAACTTCATTTTTTTGCAGTTAACCATCAGCTAACAACAGCACACAAGCAAAAACCAATAACTATCACTGCAAACAGCAATGGTGATCAACAAAACACAGACAACAGAAACCCTTTAAATCCCAAAAGAACATTGAACACTAACAGATCTCTCTAGATCTCAGCATCTTCACTTATTACAAACCAGTCTGACTTTATTCTTTCATACAAAACTTCTTATTGAGAATTTAGATTTTTTTTCTCCGGCTGCCGTAACTGTGTGTTTCTAAAGTACATTTGTTATAACAAAATATGTGAGAAAAATTCTGATTAGATGATGATCTTGTTATTGTATAGTGGCTCAACCAAAATATTTAATGTCCGATCAAGCTACATTTGTTAACTTTGTTTTGTTGTAGTATTTGGAATTGTACTGTTTGAAATGTAGTCTCCTTTCGATATTTCGAAAGTTTTTAAGACATTTTGAAGAAATTATTAAGATAAGAACATCTAGAGTCACAGACATCAAGAATCTGCATATGGACCTCAACAATGGTGACAATCGATTCAGATCAGCTCTGATCATTACAAAACAAGCGTTTTGTTGATTGTCACCATTGTTAAGATTCATGTGCTGATTCTTGAGGTTTGTGTGAGTCAAAAATGACATAAAAAATGTCTGAATAAAAAATGGGCTGATCAGACTGTTCTCTAACAATTTTTCTTATAACAAACGTGTCTTATAAAACATACAGTTATAACAGCCAGAGAAAAGCTAATGTTATAAAGTGAAGGATCAGAAGGTCAGGGTTGTTTAATTAGTTAATTTTACAGTGAAGGTGTTTGATTGTAATAATTTAGGAAATGCCTGTAAAATAACAGTGTTTGTCAGCTTGTTTAAATAAGGAGATTTTACTGTTGCTGCTAGTCATTTGACCATTGTATCATTTAATGGTTTTGTTATTGTATTAATTACAGATTATTTTTGTAATTTTACATATATTTGTTTGTAATTTAAGAAAACAGAAAACATACTGTATAAAATACTGTAGTTTTTCTGTATAGAAAAATGTGAATTACTTTAATTTGTCATTAATGTCATAATATTTAAAATAACAGCCAAGTATTTAATTCAGAGATAATTTTACAGAGTTTTGACTGCAATTCAAAATAAAAGAAAACAACCTGAAAACAAATCTGTTATTTTCTGTAAAAAAAAAAAAAAAAGATTTTTACAGTGAAGAACATATTCCATACTGTCATTCAATTAAATACATTAATCACATCTATTGTCTGACATTAAAGGGTGTAAAGGATGCAAAATCATAAATGTAAAAGAGGATTAGATTTAGGTAAGTTTATGTGAACATTTCTCAACACATCATCTTATTGCTAAATCATTAAAATCAATGAAGCACAAACAATATAATATATATATATATATATGACTTTTTAGTGTGAAGGGATTTTTACCTTTATGTCTAAAAAACATGCAGAATTCCATCTTTCTTCTTTTTTAACACAAACGATTAAAACAATTCCATAAATGAAATTGTTCTTGTGAACATTCATTGTACATAGTTTTAATGTTTATAAGTCCTTCATTAAAAAACAGCAACAACAAAAAAACGTTACAGACATAAAGGTATTTTTATACTGATCAGTTGTGCACATGTGCATTGCTATCACTCACCTAAATTATAGCACAGAGCAGCAATTTGAACACACAGCACGTCTTTTTCAGTAATGAGCTCCTCCTGTTTCTTTTTGAGCTTCTCCTGTTTCTTTCCAAGCTTTTTAATATCCTTTATCTTTTTGATGTACTTCTCTTGTTTCTCTCTCAGAACTTTGAGCAGAGATCCTGCTAAATGTGCCATCCTTCACACAGAAAAGACAGCATTTTAAACAAAACAGAATAAATCCTTTTACATCATTTGACCAATTGATTCACTGCTTCAGAATCTGGTAAGGTAGATTGAGCTTTCGGTAACACCATAATTATGAGATTATTCTAATCATGTTTAAAACATTTGAATCAACCTGATGACTTATAAAATAAAAATAAGTCATTTTGAAGGGTCACTGGTAGAAAGAGCACTGTAACAACTGTAAACGTGTTACCTGACATTAATTACTGTTAAAGAGAATAACTTGAGCACACCATCTGTCTGTGTGTCATTCAACAGCATTACAGTCTGTAGCTCATGAAAATGTTTTTCAAGATGTTAGCATATGTTTAAGTTGCTCATGAAGACATGGTCTCAATGTTTCATCAACACTTGTCCTAATCCTACAACTACTGCTTTTCAGAAGCATTGCTTGTGAAAATGAATTGCATGGAAGAGTTATGTGTCTTCCCTCTTCATGATCAACAGTTTGATAATGTTTGTTTGCAATGCGTTTTTAGCTTTATGGAGGAAAGGGTCTGGACATTGCATCTGGAACAGCATCCATCTATGATATGAATGTTTTCACAGATCAAACTACTAATATTTAGTGTCACATAAAATGACTTATGCTACAAATGCAAAGGCACAATATTAAAATATACACAACCTGTATTGAACAGTATGGCATAATTACTTCCAGGCAATGTGCAAAGCATGCTGACTCCAAAAGCTAAAGGTGAATTAATTCAGGATGATTCACCATACTTGTACAGGAAATAGTATAGTTGGTTCATAATACCTAATTTCACATTGAAAACATGAGTTGTCAGGGAAAATGTTTAGTTTTACTGCAATTACTTTATTATTGATCATCTGCCACAAAGGAGTCTGATGAGGTCCACACACCAGCAGAGTTTACAATAGCTCTAAAAACTTCTAAGCCTTCATTCATTTGTATACTGCATATACATTAAAACTTTTTTATTTTTTTAACTTTACCCCAGTGAGTGTTCGAAGCGAGTATGAGTGGCTCCAGGATACACCAGATATGTTCCTCCCAGCTGTTTGATGTGTCTGAGTCTCTGAAACTGAGGAGTGTCGATGATCTTCACCAGCAGATGAGGCAGCTCAATGTGTCCATGAATGGGGTCGTTGAAGATCTGCAGGACAGAAAAAAGGCAAATTTTAGTTCATAAAATGCATTGCCCTAGTTCATAGAGTTTATTGCCATAACAGATTTGAATCAAGGCCTACAGCAGAAATATAACTGATTGATAAAATGTGTATTCATTGTTCATTATAACTGTCAGTTTCTAGCCGAGGACAAACCAGTGTGAGATGAAAAAGGAAACACTCTCACCATCGTAAGCTTTTACAATGTTTTAAGAGGAGTTTGTGATTTAAAAGGCACACAAAAAAATCCTATCATCTACATATAATTATATTAAATTATATCTTAAGATTTGATATTTTTACTAGTTTCTCCATACAGGAGGCGTCTTGAAGCTATCATTACCAACAAAGGCTTTTGTAAAAAGTACTAAATAAATTTCAGTAGTTCAATACTTTTTCACTGTGTCATTCCATTTTATTACACAACTTATTTTTTTAACTTTGTTGTTTTGTTTTATGTGTATGTATGGATTACTTGGGTTCCTACTGACATCTGGTAAAAATTTAATGTCAACAGCACCTTTAGAAATATATTTACTGGGAAAAAGGGTGATGTGATACTGAGTGAATGCTCTCCACACACAGTATATGTTCAACAAGTACTTTCACTTCATATGCACTAAATCCCAGCCCCAAGCCATTAAGAAGTACCAGTACTTACATAGAAACCTATACATAGTAGCCAGAAAGAAATGCTAATTTTAAAGAACAACGGAAAACAAGGCTTTGTCCGGACAGCATTCTTGTAATGCGCGGAGAAGAGCAATTTCACAACGTTTTAATATGAAGAGCTGCTCTTTGGTTTTCAACTGCAATAACAAATATTTTCACTCACAGAATCAGACACTAACTGCTGCTTTTTATATAGCATATTTCCCGTTATAAATTATGATACTGCTTTGCTCTTCGGTCCGTTGGGTCGAATTGCATTCTCACCACGAGCGAACTGCTCCAGAGTCCTCTTGCAATCGGGCCGAGACACACTTGTTTGGTGCGCACCCGAACGAACCGCACCAAGAGGGACAACAAACTCTAGTACGATTCAACCGAACTAAATGAGGCAGGTGTGAAAGCACCCTTAAATTGTTTTAAAATGTAACATATCAATCATAAAATTAGTGAATTGAATATACTATAAATTATTTTGCGCCCCCCCCCCCCGGAGGATCGTTGAGCCCCCCTAGTGGGGGGTTGAGAACCACTGATTTAGACAATCACTGAAGATTTTTTTCCAGAAAACTGTAATATTTCAAATGACCACTAATGGTGTAGTTGAGTAATTATATGGAAAATATGTAACAAAAGTACCAAACATCCCGAAAAATACACAGCATAAATGTATAGTTGAGATGTAAAAAAAATAAAAATAAAAAATGATGTTAAAAATTATTAAAAATGTATATTTTTTATGCAATAGCTCTGTAAAAATCTGGGGCCCAAATTGACCCCAAAGACAATAAGTGTAAACTGGAAATGAGGAGAATTTGAGGATTACTGGCATGAATCACAGTAAATTCCCTGCAAATTCACAAAACTCCACTGGTATTAACTATTTTTATGTATAACACCCAACAGACTGACCCTCTCACCCACTCATGTTTTCTTACAAACAAACAAATACTACAAAAAGTAAATGTCAATTCCTAAATCTATTTTCTAAAGCTTCCTGAAACCCTGCCATGAAATGTCTACAGTAACTTCAAGGCTGCAGGGTGTTCTTTAATCTCTAAAACAGCTGCATCACAGTTGTGAAGTGAAGTGACATGTGGCCAAGTATGGTGACCCATACTCAGTATATGTGCTCTGCATTTAATCCATCCAAGTGCACACACACAGCAGTAGAACACACACCCGGAGCAGTGGGCAGCCATACTGCTGCAGTGCCTGGGGAGCAGTTGGGGGTTCAGCATTTTGCTCAAGAGTCTCACCTCAGTCGTGGTATTAAAGGTGGAGAGAGCGCTGGTTATTCACTCCCCCCACCTACAGTCCCTGCCTGACATGAGACTTGAATCCGAAACCTTTGGGTTACAAGTCCATCTCTCTAACCATTAGGCCACGACTGCCCACAGACAGTCATTTGTCATAATCCACAAACACTGTATGAGGTCAAACATGTAAATGCTTTATAAATGCTTAAACTTTCTGCTCTAAAGTGAAAAATGAAATTATATGTGAAAACCATAAATCTTGACTGAAATATGTAATAGCACTAACATCAGCTAAACTTCACTGGTTACACAATAGACAGAGTTCTTTTTTTCGTGCCTTTAATAGTTAGCTTAGTTTAATTTTTATTTGTTACCTTGCTTGAAGAAGTTTTCTCATTCTCCTTCTCTTCTTCGTCTTCATCATCATCATCATCATCATCATCTTCTTTGCCTTTGACTTGAAGGCATATGACAATAGTCACATAATAATAATAATAATAATAATAATCAGTATTATCTGGAAAACTAGAACAACTGTGACAGACAAAAAGTATATTATGATGGGAATGTTATAACCCATCAGAGTGATGGATAATGATTAATTGTAGCACAATCAGTTTTTGGAGTGAAACAGTTCATGCACATGCCGATGTTGTGAACAAAATTGACCAAATTTACATGCATTAATTAAATATATATTTAATTTTAATATTCTTCATCCATATTTTTTTTCTAGGGTGTTCATGTGTCCCCCAATTTTTTGTGTTTGTCAGGGACGTCTGGCCATCACAAAACCCGGAAAACAAACGCTGTAGTCCAAACGAGCCGTTCGTTGTAGTTCTTGAAAAGGGATTAAAAAAAAAACAAAATATCTCCCTTTGGAGTGGACTTTGAGATTTGTAAGTTTGAAGATCTTTTTTTATGCCCAAACATACACACTACACACTGACTAAAATTCAAAAAGTGAAAAAGCATAATAGGACCCCTTTAAGATTCACTGGATTTTTATTTGTGTGTGTTTTAAAGGCAACTGCAATGAAGCATCAAGAAAGACATGAGCAGACCAGCCACTCTGAGACTGATAATTCATGGTAAGAGAATAACTTCACTATGATTTTGAGAGGTTTGTGTATTATATATGGGGTTTGCCTTCTAAAAATGTGTAATTTCTTCTTGTTTTTCAGGGAACATATTTCTCTCTGTAACAAAGTGGACGGTGAGCAAAGGTGGCCTACATTTTGGAGCAGCACCTGGGTTTTGCAGATGCCTTATATGTATCCTTTGCTGCTTATATTTTTACAACATAATGCACTGCAAATGCAGATTAAGAGATTCAAATTAAGAGATTCATGACTCCCGACTGTTGCGTCATGAAAAACGCAACATAATTGAACAGACCTAAATCCAAATTTTTTCGGCGATCTGCTACTCCATCCCGAGCAGCGAGTCCAGTGACCGTGAGCAGCAAAGCTTTACAAATTTACTCTTTACAAATTCAAATGTTGCCGCTTCAAACGACAGGTTTTACGGCAGGATAATTGAATACTCATTGGCTCTCGCCTGCATTCGTCACAGATTGTGACATGCCGTGTTTCTGTGTTTGAATGATGCGCGCGTGCCTTCACGAGTTTACGGAGTGGATCGGGAAAATTATCTGGATAATATTTTCAGTGATTAACAACATAACTTCTGTTCTGGATCACACAAACCTACTGTATTCCACCGGAGAGGACTGCGGGTGCAATGCATCGTCGTTTGGATTACTTTTGATACTGCTTTTGACATTTTTGCAATAAATAAATGATTGTAATTGCATTTATCTGTCTGTCATGTTTTTCTTATACTCGTAAGTTTTTTTAGCTAAAAATACGTAGCGATTTGTACGTTTTAAACGTTGAAATACGTCTAAATTGTACGTTTTAGCATGAATAAAAACGTACAAAAGTGTACGTTTTGTGCTTGTAAATGTTACGTATTAATACCTACGTTTAAACATGAGACCAGGCTGGCAGAGCTGATACACTAACATTAATATAGATACACAAATGCAGATATCAGCACAATTTCCTAAATTACCTGAATCAGAATTACCGCAATCAATGAATGTGTTCTTGGGATTTTTGCACCACTCATGAAAGCACTTCTCAGCTTTCTGCTGGACCTCCCTCTGATGCTTTTGATCCTCTAGATCATAATAGACCCTAACAAGAAATTCGTGAAACTTCTCTGGCTTGAGGCTGGAGACCTGCAGAGACAAGAGAAACCAAACACAACCTGTAACCAGCCTTTCTCAAGCCAGGAATCATGCTTTCACTTACCCAGAGATGAACTCTGGTATATACACACCACAAAATATATAAAGACTGAAGAGCTATCTATCTATCTATCTATCTATCTATCTATCTATCTATCTATCTATCTATCTATCTATCTATCTATCTATCTATCTATCTATCTATCTATCTATCTATCTATCTATCTATCTATCTATCTATCTATCTATCTATCTATCTATCATCTATTTTAGTAGCAACTTAATTAAACAGACAATCTAATGCTCAAGAGAATCATAATCATGAATAATAGTTCAGTATGATAAATGTTTGAGGTAAGTCAGATTTCTTACCTGGTACTTCTTCATCTTGAATGCTGTTTTTAGGTCACTCTTGCTGTAGAAATGAACATTATCAATAGGCTCTTTGCCCACTTCACCAAAACCCATCTCAAGAACCTGAATGAGAAGAGATTTCAGACAGGACAGAAACAGACTGTGAAAAGATGAGCGCTACAAAACTGATTTTTTTTTTTGTTTTTTTGTTTTTTTAAACATACATAAATTTTAAAGTCCGCAGCCTCCAGTTGTTTTTCCAATAGCATATTCTTCCAGGGATCCTTCAGTAATTTCTATCACAATATATGAAAAGTGAAAAAATGTAAACAAAAAATCATTCAGAGGGAAAATGTACACTCTGGTTCAAAAGTTTGGGGTCAGTAAGATATTTTTTTAATTAATGCTTTTATTCAGCCAGGATGCATTAAATTGATCAAATGTGACAGTAAAGACATTTATAATGTTACAAAATATTTCTGTTTCAAATAAATGCTGTTCTTTTGAGCTTTATATTCATCTGTGAATCCTGAAAAAATAAATTGTATGTGCTATAACAAGACAAAAAAAAAGTACCGTATAGACTTGAATCTTGAAGGCTCTAACAGGCTGGGCTTTCAAGCTGTCCTCTTGTATTTTCTAAAGCAATTAAGGATCAGTCATATGCAAATACCACATTAAATATGAAATGAGTAAGAAAACAAAATATGAATTTGATAAAACTGCCACATCATGTGTGTGACTATCAAATAAAAAGACACATCTTAATATAAAACATTAAATTAAAATATATAATATATATAAAAATTGGTCAGTATAAAGCTTTAGTCAAGAATTTACTTTGTCGAATGGTGCTTTAATAACTTCTCTGCCAAGCAAAAACATTTAAAGGTTTAAGTAAACGTAATTTGTTTATTTATTTATGGATAGCAGATAATTGAATAATCGATAATTGCTTAAGAAATGTATAATACTGAAATTACTATTTTGAACCATAAATTTGAGAAATGTGAGAAATTGATTGATTACCTTAATCTTGAAGGCTTCATCAGGCTGATCTCCCAAACTGAGCAGCAGCATTTTCTAAATTGTTTAAAAGCAGTCAATCTTTTGCAAGCACACTTAATTAAAGTAATGTTAATTAATCATAGGATATGTGAGGCTTTTTATCTTCAATAACATTTCTTATAATATATATTAAATAATAATATATCAAGCAACTATAACGACAAACGGTGTGGACATGACATAAAAACATACATATTAATAGAAAACATAATTAATTATAAATATAAACAAAGTAAACTTTAAGGTCAGTTAAATCATTCTAATCATTCAATCTCATAAATTTCTAAGCTAAGTGAGATGAGTACCTGATACACTGCATTCTTGAAGGCTTCCTCAGGATGGTCTTTCAAGCAGGTCAGCATTTTATTCTAACAAGAATTAGAGAGTTAACTAATCAATCATACATGAAAATACTATAGACAATTTAAAAAAGTCAAACAGACTCTTAGCGGAAATTATATTTAATGATCTTAACTACAAAATTGTAACTAAATATTAATGATTTATGATGCAAAAACTAACACTATATGCATGAACATGTAAAATAATGCAGAACCACATAAAACAGAAAATGTCTTCATTACGAACATAACCTTAGTTACTGACAGGAGGGAATGGGATGCTTCATTAGTAGCTCATAATTAAATGCAATGGAAAGTCTGCGCTTGGAGACGGTCAAAGTTTAAACACAAGTTTTAGACTGGAAAGGCCTGTAGATCTCCATGAAATAGGTGCATATGATGATTTCAGCCATATCACTCCCTGCAGCCCAAGACTGGTCTCCCACTGAAGCTAAGCAGAGTTGAGCTGGTCAGTACCTGGATGGGAGACCTCCTGGGAAAACTAGGTTGCTGCTGGAAGATGTGTTAGTGAGGCCAGCAGGGGGTGCTCACCCTGTGGTCTGTGTGGGTCCTAACGCCCCAGTATAGTGATGGGGACACTATACTCTCAAAAAGCACCGTCCTTCGGATGAGACGTTAAACCGAGGTCCTGACTCTCTGTGGTCATTAAAAATCCCATGGCACTTCTCGTAAAGAGTAGTGGTGTAACCCCCGTGTTCTGGCCAGATTGCCCCCCTGGCCCTTGTCCATCATGGCCTCCTAATAATCCCCATCCACTTGATTGGCTCTATGACTCTCTCTCCTCTCCACCTGTAGCTGGTGTGTGGTGAGCGCACTGGCGTTGTTGTCCTGTGGCTGCCGTCGCATCATCCAGGTGAATGCTGCACACTGGTGGTGGTTGTGGAGAGACCCCCCACCCCCATATGATTGTAAAGCGCATTGGGGTACAGCAATACACAATAAAGCACTATATAAATGCCTCATTCATTATTTCATAATGAAGCAGTGAATTAGGCTTAAAGAGATGAGACAATCATCACCCTGAAGCAAAACAAATTTGAACTAAAATGCTATTGTGTTTCAGTTATATTTGCAGAGTGTCATATGCCAATGAACTGACATGAATCCATACAGGCTTCAGTGATGATCACTCCACAGTAGCAGTGACACTACATTAAAGTGAATGACTTGTAAGGATCACATATTTACACACATTAATCTGACTTTACACAAATCTGTTTAAATTTAATTCCTTACACAAAATCTTGAGTCCTCCTCAAGATCCAGATGATGGTTTTTGACCTTGTCCTCCCAATGTTTTGTCAGCATTGCCTAAAAGTTTAAGGAAAAATTGTTACCCAGTCAAATACATTAGGACATTTATTATAAATACAATTATTCATTGTAAATATCCATTTTTTATATCAATTACCAACATAAAGTAAATCTGTTATATTTGGACATTTTTTACACATTTTTACACATTTTTGGGCAATTGTGACACACTCAATTCCTCCAATCAGAAACAAGCTAGAGTGATGACACTTAATCAGCACATGCTCAGTAAGATTCTCTCTCTGCCTGTGGAAAAGGAGTACAAATCATGTCACCTCAGCACAAGTTTTCAACAAAATACTGATTTTGAGGTATGAAAAGTTACTTTTTGGATGTACAGTATTTTTCTTCTGGTGTACAAAGTTTAGATGAAAATTAACATGAACAACCTATGCTAATATAAGTGTGGCAAGCTAGCATATCATATTTTATCATGCAAAATGATAACTTGGCCCAGTTTAAGCACCTTGTTTGTCTGTTGACATACTATTCTGTTAGAAAATAAACATATTTAAATGTAAAACTACAACTAAAAATTATTAGTGTTATACATTAAACACTGTCGTGCGTTTTAATATAAGGACAAAATAAATAAAAATACGATGAATATTATCTCCACATGATCTCATTGGGTTATTCTGTTAATATGTCTATCTTGCTTGGTTGAAGACTGTTCTTGACTCATCAGCCGATTAATTTTAATTTAATATTATAGTCTTCTTATTAACTTTTACACAAAATAAATGTGTTTTATTGCACCAGTAAGGTACCTTTAATTCCTTTTCATTCAGTCGGGCCTCTCCCACAAACTTTGGCAGCCGTCTGTTGACAACGTCCTGCAGAATGCTTCGGGCTTCAGCCAGATCTGCATTTGAGTCTGGCTGGTTCAGCATCTGATCGAAGATGTGATCTGTTCAAAGAGAGAGGAAATGGCTCATTGAATTTTACCTTTCAGCAAACAAAAATCATAACATGTATTATGTATATGTACCGAGCTTAATATGACGTCAAAAATCAACCTGCCATTTAATACAAAACTCAAAATCATTTAAATAATAATTTATCTTGATCTGTACCCATGCTTTCTCTGACCTGTGAGTTTGGTGTACTCTAGCATGTCGTCTATGGCATCTGAGATCTTGCAATCTGGACTCAGCTTGTCATCAGCTAGTACCAGAGCATCCTTAATCCTAATGTAAAATGCAGCAAAATCTGGGGAAATGCTATAATGCATAAAGATTGAATAAAATAAATAAGTGTGCTCTTTCACACAAAACCCACTTGACGTCAATGATGTAGCCGATCTTGTGCTGAAGAGCCTGACGATGAAGAGTGTATCTGGTGTGAAACATGCCATAAATGTTATCTGCCACCTGTGAGAGAAACAGAGAGTCATGGACTAGAACATAGAAACTGAGTATATTTTTAAATAGTGAAAGGAAGTAAAAATACCAACAAGACAATATTTTTATATAAAAGTGGTAATGCTTTTAATAAAATGTTGAAAAGAATTTGAAAAGAATACAACATTAATGAAAATAAGTGAAGTTTTATTATTGTAAAATTTTATATAACGATTAAATTGGTTATGAATTGGTTATTGTTATGGTTATGATATTTACACATATGAAAGGTTACTGTACAATAATGTTTTGACTCGAAACTCACTTCCCAGTTTAAAATATGAATAATTGTTTTCTACCCTTCTGAAATGCCCAGATTTGAAATCAGGTGAATTGTGACGTCACAATTCCCCTCAACACACCCTTAACATGTGTTACTGTCATGTGGAATCAAGGGGGTTCTGAACAACTTATGTCTGTCCATCAATCATGTCTGTCTGTGAGGTAAAGAAAGACCTTTTTGGTGAAAAAACCCTGCTTGTATTTTATATACAGAAAGCGATCAATGATCGATCTCTTTATAATCTCTGGAGTTTATCAGTGATTCGATTCCTCCTTTTTGCCAAACTCACAATCACTCACAACATCATGTTTTCACTGTGTTAGCTATGATGAAAGCATTTAATGAGATTGCAGAAATCACGCTGCAGTAAGGAGAGCACTGTGATCATTATGTGAGTGAGTGAGTGAGTGACGTGATATGTGTTCAATACTCAGAATTTGTGCTCTGCATTTACCCATCCAAGTGCACACACACAGCAGTGAGTAGTAAACACACACACACACACATTGTGAACACACACCACACACACACCGTGAACACACACCCAGAGCATTGGGCAGCCGTTTTTGCTGCGGCGCTATGGAGCAATTCAGGATTTGGTGCCTTGCTCAAGGGCTCCTCGTGTGTGGAATGGATTAATTTATTCACTTCCTTCACCTACAAGTCATGCCGATACTGAGACTCTCTAACCATTAGGCCGTGTGCTCAGTAGACATGACTGCAGTGCTGCAACCTTTCATGCAATGGGAGTAGATCTGCATGTAATGCTATAATCATCCCTTTTCACGATTAGTTAATCTCGACAGCTGTAATAGTAAAAATGCAGTTTGAGAGAGCTCCATATGTAATACTTATGTCAGTTATTAGACAAGTTTCTTAGAAGTGGCCAGTTATATGTGAAAAGTTTTGAGTCTCTTGGTGAGGAACAAAAACACAAAATCATACACACATAGTGAGGGTGTAAATGAACAGGTGAATTGTCAGGTACCTTGTCTCTGAAGCAGATGTGTTTCCTCTCGTTCACGTTACACACTCGAGCAGATTTCAGCAGACGCTGAGAGTCAAAACCACATGGAATGCCGAGATAATAACAATCTCTGCATGTAAAATAGCAGAGGAATTACAGAACACAATAGCTGATAAAACACGAATACACTTACAATGGGCCACATTTATTATTTATCTTCAGCTGTTCAATACCTGTTCAAACCATTTAAACATCACTTTAAAATACAACTAACCGGGCCAAATAGTCCCATTTGTCCACATCAATGCCGTTCACTTTATTTGCCACAATCTCATACAGGAAGGATTTGTCCTCAGTCCTGCCCTTCATTGACCACTGCAAGAATGAAAATATGTTGACCTTAAACACTGTATCCTGATAAATACTGAAACAGCAGCTTAAACACATTTTACCTGGCCATCTCTTTGTCCTTTCAGAATTAATTCCTCAATAAATGTGATGTCTTCAGGTAGATTCAGTCCATAGTGTTCCATCTCTTTGTCCAGTCCATTCTTCTTTCTCATGCAGCGAAACATGTCAACAGATGCCTGCTCATGCTTCAGAAGAACAACATAAATACTCATCAGTACAATTAAAGTGTACTAGTGCTGTCAATCGATTAAAAAACGTGACTAATTAATCACACATTTTTCTGCAATTAATCATGATTAATCGCATATTAATGTAAAGTATTTATGTTGTCATAATTTCACATTGAATCTCCAAATTAATGTAGAGACAACATAAAGAAGGTATATTTTAAATATGAGTTTAATGGCATCTTTTTACTAACTAGCCTATTATTAATGAAGGCCAGTATCACTGATACCAATAATGCTACTGATGTCTCTATTAAATGCACTTTTCCCTCAATTTTAGCCATTAATTACAGCCATTCAACATTATAGTATAATTAAAAGCAATTATTTTTGTAGGCTTTGAAAAATATAACTTTTAAGTCAACTTAAAAGAATCTTCACATAAACTATAAATGATATGTGAATGAACTATAAATTGTATATAGCTTAATATTTTTTCAAGCTACAAAAGTTTATCAGCGATTAGAGCAGTTGAGTGATTTCTCTTTGACTTTGTTGTTTGATTTCCATCAATGACAGACTGAAGCAGGTTTCACTTTAAAAGCAACGCTGTCACTTTAAAACATGATGCACATGATGCGGATCACATCCGATTTTCTCCCAACTCTTTACGATCATTTGGGCCTTTTTAACTCATTTAAGACTGTTCATGAACTGCACATTTTGACATAATTGTGTATGTTTTTGTCTGTTGAAGCACTACTGACAGTCTGTCTGAAGTGGCTTTCTGTGCACGTGCTTGTGTTGGATGCCTGTGTTCACAGAGACCAGCTTCACAAACAGAGTGCCAGTACCGAATAAACTTCTCTTTTGTGTCTTATTGTGCTTGATAGCATGTTCACATAGTCTACTATAACAATAGTAGCTAAAAGAAAACAAAAAGGATGCTGCATTATTTTCTTTAATTTCATTAATTAATGCATTAAACTGAAAAAGATTAATCGCAAAATGAACGTGTTAATTCTGACAGCCTTATTAATTACATAACATTGCTTTGTAGTTTATATTATTTATTTATTATATATTTTTTTTTATTCTAAATGTTCTCTGAAGAAGCAACTTTGACGGTGGATGTTCAGAGCATGGAAGTCATGAATCTGTGACAGTTTTACATTACTGCCATTTACTGCTTCCAGTTTACACTTGTACTACAGTAACTGCAGTCACAGTATTTTTTATATATATATATATATTACCACATTTAACAGTAGAATTCAAAAAGACCAGAAACATGTTTTAAGAAATGAAATAAGTTTGCATGTTTTGACTTGATATTCTATGTAGCTCACTGACTTTGAAATGCATGTATATTATCATATATTTGTATCTGTACAGGAGAGTTATGATGCTTACCTCCCAATGCTTATCTGAGAAATGAAAAGAGATTTTAGGTATTATGTAAGGCAGATTTAATAATGTACATACATGCACTGACTCTTTTACACATTTGTCTGTCTCCACACACACACAAACACAAACTACTACATTGATTTAATAAAGAACACAATGATTATTGAGCAATGGCAAAATATTCAGTTTGCTCTCAGATTTTCCTTAAAAAAGTGATTCAAAATGAATGAACTAACTTATTGTTAATTCTTGATTTAATAATTGTAATTTGTAAATTATTCATATGATGCATTTCACTGGCACTCAGGCTACACACACGAAAATCTCCAATGATGTGACTGAATGTTTTTAATTTCTACAATGAAAGTCATTTGAGCTCCATCTTTCTTTCAGTTACATACATTATATATTTGCTTTGCTTGTGGTTTAGCATTAAATACATATATTTACGTATTCAACAGCTTTAATAAATATTGATTATTTATTGCTTAAATGCCAAGCTGAAATCACTGAAGTGAGAAAACTCAGACACTTACCAGGCTGGACTTCAGGGATGAACATGCCATCAAACAAATGAGAGAAGGGACCATGACCTGAAAGGACAAAGTAACATATTTTATTATACATAATTATTGTTTTTATAAGTTTTATAATTATGAATCTCATTCTTCTATAAATAAATAAATAAATAAATAAAATGAAAACCTTAAAAGAGACCCATAAGGGGGGAAAAAAAGAGTTGGCACTGTCCAAATTGTCCATATGTTGACTATGGGGCAAAAAAAACCCCAAAACTGTTTAAAACAACACATAGCAATTGAATACACACCAGTTTGCTTTTAACGATTTCTTTAAAGATGTTCTATGTAAATATGCACATGAATGTTTGTGCTCCTCACCCATGTCATGACACAGGGCAGCGATCTGAACACACAGGAAATCCTGTTTGGTGATGTTGAGTTCTGGCTGATTCTCATGTAGAGTCTTGACAAGACATCGTGCTAAATGTGCCACACTAACACACGCAAACACAAACAGTATTAGTGTAGGCTATTTCAAGGAAAAATTATGCAAAGGTCCAGTCTCGAAAAAGAGGAAAAAGTTACCCAATAGAGTGTTCGAAGCGAGTGTGAGTGGCTCCTGGATACACCAGATATTTCGCTCCCAGCTGTTTAATGTACCGGAGTCTCTGAAACTGAGGAGTATCAATCATTTGCACCAGCAGAGGGTGCAGCTCAATGTGACCATGAACGGGGTCATTGAAGATCTGCAGGACAGAACAACGGTTTATAGAAACTGACCTAGAGAAAACTGTCCGAAGCAGAAAGCAAAAGGATATCATCTGAAGTTACTTCGCAAAAATAACAACACATTTAAATGTGACATTTATTATGGGCTTGTGTGAAGTTCTTAGTTTAATTATACCCTGATTTGAATTGCTGTTTAAAATATCTATCTTGAAGCAAGATGGTTTAAATTTAAAAGACTGCAATTCTTTAACTGAGAATTTGTATTTGGAAATGAAATCAGCGATAAACTTTGATAATAAATGATATCAGTTCAAAAATAAAAAGTAAAAATATGAATTGTTGTACAACAAAAATGATGATTGTTGTTTGCATTGTATATTTTATTAGGTCTTATTGTACGCTAGTGTTAAAAGTGAAAGATACTGGTAGGCTATCAGTTACGTTCATGTGTGATGTGTGATAGCCCAAGTCAATCTCTGATCCAACCACGCAATCAAAGCTGGCAGTTAAACATGTAGGCTATTCATCATTTGACTGAAATGGGATGATTTATGTTTGCAATAGGCTAAATTTACTATATACATGAAACTTTCTTCTTTCCATTTTGATGCTTCACTTGCCTTCCTGATGTCCTTTGAAAAGTCTAGGCAGTATTTCTGTCTGACGTTTTCCAAATCCTCAGTGATTTTTGTCCATCTTTTCTCTGCGGAGAGAATTTTTTTTTTAGAAATACTTTTGTTAGACATATTTTGTTTCAGCTTAAAGAAAAAATCAATAAAATCACAGTCTATGTTGCATTCTACAGTACAGCAAGCCACGCAGTATTAGCGAGGGTTCACAAGTGATCGTTTTTAATACTAAATACATTTTAGAATGAGAAAGGTTCCCATATGTTCACTTCATTGAACTAATTGTATGCACTTACTTTTTCTTAAGTTCATCTAAATTTTGGCATAATTATTAAAATGTTTTAGCACGACTAATTTTTCTAATGCAACATAAACACTTCTCTTGAACTAGATAATTAAACTGCAGTAGTCGGTAACCTATGGTGCTTGTGTGACCATTACTGACACCAAGCCACTGGATGTGCGAGGAGACCATTTGCGGGAGCGCGAGTTAAACGCTGAATGTGTTCTCGCGTATTTGTCTTTAGCTTTAAGAACAAAAGTTACCGCTATCCGATATTTTCATCTCTGTATGCATGGTCATAATGCGTGAACTATAACATTAAGCTAAATATATCACACTCCATCTATTTTGATGCGCATATGCGTACAGAAACCTAATGGAAACGCTTTTAAATAAATGAATAAACTAAATAAAGAAGCTTTACGTAATATGTAGGGGTCCGTGTATCATTCGATCATTCGTTTTTTAATTTAAAAATGAGAAAACGGCTCCTTTTTCGTTTTTTTTGTTTTTTTTCCAAAAAACGAAAAACGAGAATTCAGCTTAAATTTACGTTTTTCGTTCATGGGTGGAAAAATTAATAAACAGCTTGAATATTCGATTTCTACATGTGGGCGGGAATTAAACGCCCCTTTCTGCTGATTGGTCAGCCGAAGATTAAACCGTGCAGTCATCAGTTCTTCCACAGTATCACACAGCAGAATAATAGTCCTCCACTGCTGCAGTTTTACGGATTAATAACCCATTTTATCAATTTCATATTTTTCATCAAACAAACAGGCTAATGAATAGCTCGACACAACTCGTACCAGGGCAGAGTCTAGACAGGGCTTTCTTCTGTGTAGCCCAGCGGTTCTTAAAGCCAGAAAGATGCTCAAGGAGACCGAGACACACAGCGCATTCTGTTGTTCTCTTTATTTTTCAAAGGCATGACATTTTGTAGTTATTTTTAACGTAACGTTACACAATTAAAAATATACATTTTACCATACAACTATAAATATGAAGTTAGTATTACATTATTTACCCTTGATGGGGGAAAAAATCCAAGTGAACATCAATCAGTACTCAATATTAATTTAAACTGCTTTAAATATGACTGCTGCTTATTTCCTGTGCATTCTGAAGGTATACTGAGGGTTTGGTGAGAAACAAATGGAAATGGCAAGTTATTATATTATATGAAAATCTTGCATTGCAGTGCGAGTGCGCAGCAGCTCATGTCGCGCACAAGTGCATACATATCCTTTTGAGATATCAATTATAATCAATTTTAATAAAACACAAGACCACATTATATAACTCTAAGAGTAGGCTATTTAATATCTGTTGTTCGTGAACATAGGTCAACCCAAGTCAATTTATTATTATTTCCTTTTTGTCTTAGTGTTTAAAATATTTATTTTGAAACAAATTAATTAATTCATTTCTTAATTAAACAAATTAATTAATACATTTCTTAATTAAACAAACAAACAGACTTACTGGGTGAGCAGCTGTCATATCATACCCTGCCATGCCCAGCTGATGCAAAGAATAGAATTTATATCTACACAGAAGAAAGCCCTGTCTAGACTCTGCCCCGGTACGAGTTGTGTCGACCTATTCATTTGACTGTTTGTTTGATGAAAAAAAGATTAAATGTAGTTGCAATAAATGCGTTAAGAATCCGTACACCTGCAGCAGTGGAGGACTATTATTCTGCTGCGTGATACTGCAGAAGAACTGATGATGGGCGTTTAATTCCCGCCCACGTGTAGAAATCGAATATTCAAGCTGTTTATTAATTTTTCCACCCAAGAACGAAAAACGAAAATTTAAGCTGAATTCTCGTTTCTCGTGTTTTGGAAAAAAACGAAAAAGGAGCCGTTTTCTCATTTTTTTACTTTCAATATTAAATAAAAAAACGAATGATCGAATGATACACGGATTCACGGACCCCTCACGGCTCAGATTTGGTTGACCAATTGTCTAAAAGGGGCGTGTCATGACCGCCCACAAGGGGAAAACGAATTTTGAAGTCCTTTATCCCTTCTCTACCCATGAACCAAAAAAAAAAAAAAAAAAAAATTTTTTTTTTTTTTT